GAGATATGGCGGGGGAAGGGGACAGTGGAGGAGAAGGGGAGAAGAGACTGTGACATCCAGGGAGGAGTTCTTTTCGTTTGAGGACATGGGTATTGGATGGTGTGGTTATCGGCGGAGAAAAAGAGTTGTTGAGCATCCTCACAAGTGCATTGTCTGCTTTGACGGTAAAAGCTATATTGAGGATGACAGGACTCCAAAGGAGAGACTGGCCACAGCCATTGGCATGGATCACCCACTGACCTGGCAAACATCATTGCGGCACCCATGATGCCAGATGCACCGAAAAAGTAAGATATGGCGAGGGAAGGGGACAGTGGAGGAGAAGAGGAGAAGAGGGGGGAGGGGGAGAGGGGGGCGGGGAAGGGGTGATGGCCCCATGATAATGTCGAATTATATGGGGCCAGTCACTCTGGATATATCTCGAGACTGCTGCCCTTAACGGAAAAAGAATAGGGTGGCAACGGTTTCCAGCGGCACGATGTTGGCGGGGGGGGCGGGGTCGTGCACGGGTGGAGAGGAGGGGAAGTGACGGAGGGAAAATAAGTTTAAATAACCATCCTGTATCATCTTCAACTCTAGGGATTCAGCTTTTGAAGATTCACATGTTTGAATGAACACACCAGGTCTAGCTATTATGTGGGCTGATGAAGCTGGAGCCATGAACCAAGTTCCTTTTTTTTATTATTATTTTAAGCCCATGGTGTTGTAGAGGCCAGTCATTGTGTAAATGGGCAAGGGGCTGGGGGGCCATGCTTTAGGTGGGAACTGCGTGCTCCTGGGGAAAGGGGGGTAGAGGGTTGGTCCTATATTGGGGCCGAGGGAGAGTGGGTGACTCACCTCGGCGGAGGCAGTGTAGGGCGGAGGGGGGAGGGGGAGGGGGAGGGAGGGAAGATCTTTCTTGAATAAGTCTATCATTTTTTATTTTATTTTTTTTAAAATTTTTTAAACGGGCCCAGTGCCCAAGGCTGATATTACCAAACAGATGATTGAGGCCGGGGTCCTCACAGTCTGCCCGGAGTAACCGAACCCAGCTTGCTGAGAACCGGGCTCAGCGTCCCACCTCTGATGATGCAAACAATTATGATGATGATAAATGCTGATGATTCTACTGCTAATGTTGATTAGTATAACAGTCCTTCTGGCCTCCTACTCCTAGATCAACTCCTAGCCCCCCTGCATCAGGACATTGTAATTCAGAGACAATACCAGCCTAACCGATATCACCCATAGCTGCTCCGTTCTCACCACATAGCAGCCCCCCCTGGTTCGCCACTGGATTGCCTTCCTCCCTCGACAAACCCCAGATCTCTCTACAAGGCCTCATGCCCCCGCCATTTGCAGGTTACAGGGCAATGCCCCAGCTCCGGCCAGCGTCGTTCTGGCATCAGCTAACCAGGGGCACAGAACAGAACGACTCTGCAGACATCGGTCATGGTTCGACCATCTCTAAATCCCTATATCCCAGATGCGAAAGAAGGCTAGATGCTGTCCAAAGCCCAGAACACCAGAATGCCTACAAAACCTGAATGAGATAGTGTCTTCTGGCCTCCTAATCCTGATACCTTCCTAACCCCTTCTGTACCAAGATATTACATCTTAGAGACAATCTCCTCCTAACCAAAAGTCTGCCATAGCTGACCTGTTCTCGCCACCTAGACTATCCCTGGCCCCCTAGGTTGTCCAGGCAGCCCCCCTAGTTTGCCACTGGATTGCTTTCCTCCCTCAGCAAATCCCCAGATCTCTGTACAAGGCCTCACGCTCCTGCCGAATGTAGGTTACAGGGTCACACCCCAGCTCCGGCCAGCGTCGTTCTGGTATAGGCAAACAGGAGCACAGAACAGAGCAACACAGCAGAAATCGATCCAGATTCGATCATCACTGAGATCCTATATCCCCAATAAAGAAGAGACTTAGAAGCCACCAGCGTCTTATTACATAGAAGATGATAATACTTCACCTAAAATTTGTCTTCCCCCCCCCTTCATTCCACACTATCCCAATGCTGCCTCCGCTGAAACAGATTACCCTCATTACAGGCGTCCCATCACAGCCCCAACTTGGGACAGTACCACCTTCCCCYCCCCTCTCCAACAGAGCATACAGTTCCCTCCCAAAGTATACCCCTGCACACCTTTTACCTTAGACTGCCCCCGCTGATGTGAGTAACCCCACTACCAACCCCAGAATAAGGCAATCCCACAGACTCTGCTCACACCC